GGGGGGGGGGGGGGGGGGGGGGGTTGCTGCCCCCCAACTAACTTGATCAATCGCTAGCGCTGAATAAAAGCCTTACGTATGACACACGCGCTATTACATACCCGGCGGCATCACATCACACGCACGGTCAATGGTGCCCCAGCGTTGTTAACAAGGGTTCCCTGCCATCGTGGCTGTTTGTGCGCGGATAGCCGGCGCTGGTGCTGCTACTGCTGTATGGGACATGCGCAAGGCGCGCCGCCTCCCTATCTGGGCGTTGGGTGAGCGACGAACGACAACGTTCAGCACCCACTCTGTGGGTGCCACCAGTCTGGTCGAATTGAACCGCCACAACGGTGTAGAACTCACCTCCGGCCAATCAGATTCGTCTGACCAATCGATGTCCGAGTGTCGGAACGACGGGTGAGCCCTCTCGGTGATGATGCCCAGAGACGGACACGCACGGGGAGGGTTCATGAGGTAACGCTTGCGGCCCCTGAGCAAACAAAACAGCAGCACGGAGAGGGAACCAAAAAAAAACAGTGTATACGTAGGCTAAAAAAGACTCAGGGTAAGCCCAGTATCCAGCCGGTTTTCTTCCCATTCACTGCGAAGACTTCCAGCACGTCCCCTTCGGCTGTGACATTCTCTCAAAAGGGTACTCTCTCTTTTGTTGTACGTATTTTGTCTTGAAGCAATCGTCAGAAACTTGTTAACTTTCCTTCTTTGATTGTACGTATATTTTCTTGAAGCACTCGTCAGAAACTTGTCGATTTTCCGTCTTCGGCATACAAAGAATGAAGACGTCCCATCCTTGTCGTCAACAACAAAAGAAATGCGGAGACCTATGAATATGAGTGTGCGTACATGGTGAAACCCACCGACTTAATCACGTCCAAGGTACGGTGTGAGAGAACGTCCGGCCCGCCCGCCCGCGTGTATATTGTACTTTAGCGTTTCCCCCCGCTCTTCCGAGTGCTCACCTGAGCATAAACACGAAGTTTTTTCCATGGTCGAAGTGGCTCTCGGCGATAATCCCCCTAGCCCCAAAGCGGCATTGGATACCCTTCTGGTGACTGACCTGGAATCGGCAGATCACATCGCGGCAGAGGGGGTAGGAACATGGCTTCTTGTGTCCTACGAAAGATGAATGCGGCTCTCCTTGCGCGTCAAACCTCTCTTATTGCGTGCAGAAGTGAACGAGCAGGCAAACAACACCCCGATCTCCACGATCACCACCACCACCACCACCTCCACCACCACCCAACAACAACGACAGCAACAGCAGCAAGGCGCACGACTTACATCAGGGATGAAGAAGTTGTTGGTGCTGGTGCTGAAGAATGGGAGGTCGTCCGCCACGAAGTCCCCAGTGTCCGGCGGTGTCTTCATGGACGGTTTTACGCCTGGTAAACAACATCGACAGCAACAACACAGCAGTTATACGAAACTACACAAAGGGGCGGGGGACAACACACGTACAGCAGGCCAAAAGACAAAACATTTTACTTCCCGGCGGAGCAAGAAAAACAGAAACCGGCCTTCACATTTTCTCCCCTCTTATAATTGTCAAGGACATTCGGCCACTAGATGTGGAGAAAGCATCAAACGCCAATGATGCCACCGCAGCCGAACGCACTTCGCGGAACCATCGATTTGCCCCTCAAGTTTCGGCGTGCCTCCGAACCGTGACTCCCAAAGAGGTACAGCGTATGCACAAACGAAACGCGGTAAACGAGAAGGTACAACAGACAAAGCGACCGAAAGGACAAACAGATATCTTGACGGTTACACGCAAATGGACGACGAAATGGAACTCTTTACCTACCCACGGTGAGGTAGTAGTGCACATCCTCAGGGCCGATCCTGTTGGTCTCAGCCTCCTGCGTCCAATTGAGCCACTTTTCGAAGGGCATGTATTGCGGTTGGGTCGGTGGTTCCCACGAACCGTCGTGCTTACCCCCCTTTTTGTGCCAGAACATGAAACGATTCGACACTGCGCGGTGGCGCAAAAAAAAAACATAGAGACAGAGAGACAGAGAGACAGCCATACAGAGACAGACAGATAAACAACATGGTGAGCTAATCTATAGAGTGTGATAACGAAGAATTTTTTTTTACTCTTTTGGCATCGGCTATTTTGTCCAGATTCTAGATGGAGTCGAGGGGGGTGAGATAGGATACGAGAAGAGGAGTACACGTGTGTAAGCTTGTCGCAGGTTGTTGAGTGGTGTGGGAGTTGGACATTTTGATGGAGGCGTTACCGTGCTGTGACCAAGGCCGGTTTCAATTCTGCTATGTACAATACATCCGGTAAGGGCATAGAGAAGGGTGAGTTATCACCGAACAGACCGCACCCGCGGCAACGCAAACGTATATACACCATGTTACAGCAGCCTTCGCAGGGTCCTTCAATCAAGTAAACATGTTGGATAAAGTATGCAGTAGGTAACCTTCGCAGGTTGTTACTAAGTCAACATGTTGGATAAAGCATGAAACCGGGGAAGTTGGGCTAAGAGTTAGGAAATACGGTCTGCGTACCCCCTTCCTGTTCTATTTCCTCATAAAACTAATTTCTCGCGAAGGCGGTCCAAGTGTGAGGCCGCTAATTACGCTGGAAGAAGCTTAAACTGGAGAGCGCGATCTATCCAAGTGGCGTCGAGCAGTCAGCCCACAGGGAGTCCATTCCGCTACTCTCGAAAACCCCAACCCTTTCTCCATGTTTCAAACACAGCCAGTGAGTGCCAGGCTCGCCATTCGACCCTCCGGGGCAAAACAGTCCCCTCATAGGTAACCACGCGCCTGATTTCATGACATTGCACCGGGGGCACCGTTGCATCCTGTCCAGGAGGTATTCGTCCGTCCATTTCTTGGACGCCGCCTCGGCTTCAGGATAACCTGCGGGACAAGAGCAAAAGTAGGCGCTACGTTGCCTTGGAGGAGGAAAAGGTTGTGTTCGGCACAAAGAGGACGGTAACGATGGGAACGGTTGAGCAACTGGTCTCTCGGCTTGACTATCCCGTGCTTTGGACAAACAAGAGCCGAGAGGAGCAAAAAACCGCAACACTAACAACCCCAACCCGAACCCCCGAACAAAACATGCCCCCTCCAACGCTACAGAGCATCATTGAACATACCAACTCGGTAAACAATTGCCACCCAACGAACAAATGGTCGTTGTACTTGGAGGGGGCCTTGGCTTCATGAACGCGTGCAGGAGCAGGACAATCACACCTACACCAACAGCTACAGCACAACAGAAGAGAAACAAAGCTAGGCATGAAACCTACCGAGCAAATAACAATACCACCTAACAATGAAAAACAACGGTCAGATAATTCACAGCAACACCGAACTACTCCGAGGTACATTTCTTTAACCTTTAAACAACAACGAACGCAGCAAATAGGCAGGTGAGAGCGCCACATCGAACCCCTACAGATGAACTCAACAACACCAACAACACGACACACAAGCAACAACAGAAGATTGTTTCTGCGCTTTTAGAAGCAGCCTCGCCGTTAAGGCACACCTACAGGCGGCAACACGATGACGTACACGATGACGTCACTAATCTCTGGGGTTTTCCCACGGTATTGTGCGAGCCCATCGATGGAAACAACACGGAAACTCACCAACAACCTTGAAAGGCACCTCGCAGTGTTGGAGAGTGGTGGCCATCGCAAACTGCTCAGGGTCGCTATAGTTCAAAACCTTTGGTGCGCCAGAAACAATGAGTGCACGGGGCGGGGCGGGGGGGGGGGGGCGTACTCATTTGTTGCTTGCCGTAGTCATTTGACCATTGACCACCCGTCTCTTTCGAGACGGAGCATTGGCGCACACGCACAGAAGTACATTATGTGACACGCTCGCAGTGCCGCACGCGCAGCATACAAACAACTAACGGGTGTATCTCCTGGTCGTTGTTCGTGCGTGTGTGAAGCCCCAAAACAACAAATCGTTCTGGGCGTTCTTTCGAAGACATCTCCCTCACACTCTGTTCGAGAGGTTTGTAATGGGCCGAGGAGCGGCGCAGCCGCCACCGTTCTTTTTGCCTCCGTCCCAGGAGTGAAAGAAACGAACGAAAAAACAGTCTCTAAACATCGGCCTCTTCCAACGCCATGCAGGGGCCCAAACTTGCCTAGGCGGGTGACCGAAATTGCCCTCCTTTTCGACCCACAAGATCTACAGCGCACCGATTGACGATCTGCTGGCGTCTGAGGAGCAAGAAAAATACGGCACTCTTCGTTGCACCGGTTTGGCGGTGCTCCGTTTAGAGATGGCCGTACTACATACACAGGCGTTTGTGCCCGAAACTCGCAGGAGACACCTCGCCCTGACCCCGGGAGTTATCGAGTTGATGGGGGGACACAAAAATCGGAGATCTCACGCACGCGATTGCAACAAGGAGAAGCAGTGGAAAACGCCACACACACCGCTGGCATGTATGCCTATCCGCCACATATCCGAGGCCAGCAACAAAAAACATCAGGGGCCGCACCTATACGACCTGCGCGCTGTGGGTACAGCCATGCGCCAGCGTGACCTATTGTAGCGGGTTGTTTATTGTCGCGTGGGCAAGTTGGCGTGGGTGTACAACTGACTTGTTAAAAATAAACAAGACCACGCACACACACACACACACAACCCCATCTGACCATCGTTCCGCCCTTGGACGCGGACACGTAATCGAGAGAAACCTTCAAGGGGGTGAGCGGCTACTGTTGGGTGTCCTCAGGATGGTTGCCCGGGATCGTTCCATCAGGTTGTCTACGACGCGCTGCTCTCCTCGAAGACAAACGTGAACGGAGGCAGATCCGTCTGCCTGCTGTTGCTGCTGCTGAGTCGCTCTTGCGTGAGATCGATGCCAACGGCTTCTTCTGTTTTGCTTGGGTATAATGCGGACTGCTTGCTGTCACTTCGAAGGAAATTCGGCAGGGTTGAGACCATTGAGTGTGGCGGGTAAGTTGTGAGCCTGCCACATCTATCTGTCACCATAGTCACGATGCCCTATGTATATCACGCTGCTGCTGGTGTGCTCTGCGGCGGTCTGGTTTACTTGTCGCCATGATGTAGCATTCCATGCCTCTGCATAGTAAGCATTATTTAGTGCATATGTGCGTCTGTCCGCCTTTGCGCACGGCGGAAAGACTTCATGTTTCGGTTCCTTTTTCACCAGTGCGTGGCATCAACGAAAAGCAAACAACCGTCGGCACACAAGCATCTCCTCGTCGCGTCCGTCGCACGTCTGTGCCTGCCCATGAATCTGGCTACGCTACAGATGATGCAGCATCACAGGTAGACAACTGCAAGTCGTACCCCGCGGCTCATTACCCCGCCCTATTTACTACTGCAGCAATGTTGCGGGCTGACCCATGAGAAACGTGAATAACCATGTCAGAGAATGTAAGCGCCCTTTGTGAGAGGGGTGGTCGTGAAACCAACCGATGGCAAACCGTCGGCTTTAAAGCCAAATTTATCCAATCCACAACGAATGCATGTACACAAGACCTTAGGAGAAAGAGAGAGAGGCTATGGACATGAAAACATCCCAACTATTCTTCACTTGTTTTTTTTTAGTACCAAGGAGGAGGTCCCGACCGGGTAATGCGGATCTCAGGCACACACCAAAACCTACCTCCCTTCCGTGACTGCTCACTAAAATCTCAGGCCAAGATAACTCCAACAGCCAAAAAGGTAAAAATATGCAACCCTGAGCGGGGCATGTGCTCAATACAGCTATGGTGTTGGTGTACAGGCACATGACGTGGTGCACTCCGCCGTACAGGTCGCGGCAGCTTGCTATGTATGATATCCGCACCCGTGTCGGAGATACCCTCTGGCCAACTACCACGGGCGTGGATGGAACGCGCGTCTGCTGCACCCAAGCTCTGATGAACTAAGTCATATGCATAACACATCCCCGAGATGCAGAGATGATCGAGGAAGTCTTCGAACATTGCAAAAAATCGGATCTTGACCTCTATTTAGGCCAGTTGTTGTGGAAAGAATTCCCAAGTGGGAATCCCGATATTACGCCTGTTACATCCAAACCCCCACGCGTCAGCAGGAGTTCTGCGCACTTGGTGGGAAAAGCACACCAAAGCGCTTTGTCAATCAGTACTCGCCTCACAGAAACCCGTTTGCGATCAAACCTTCGAGGCTGTAGGCTCCATTGCTGTGAGCCTCTCGGAGCCAAGTTTGGGGAGCTGGTGCATCATTGTTGGAAAAATAGGATTCCAATCTGGGAATATTGGACGATCCTGCGTGGGAATTCCTCATGGATTCCAAACTGGATTTGGTTGAAATTCCAATCTGGGAATTGCGAATTTGCTTTCATATCCGAGGCTACTCTGTGCACACTCCATTCTAGCTGCCCAAACTTGGCTCCGCAAAGCTCACAGCAGTGGACTGCACAGCCTCTGTGGTTTGATAAGGAACAGGTCTCTGTGAGGCGAGGACTAAGTATCGAAGTGCCGTGGTGGGCTCTGCTTGCTATCCAGTACGCAGACCTCCTCTTTTGGGGGGTGGCTTACCATTTTCTGTCGACCCCCTGGATTCCAATCTGGGAAAATCTACCATAAGGGCGTATATTAACGAAGAGCCGAAAATCAAACTCCAAATGGGCACAAAATCAAAATCAAAATGCGTTATCGTGGAAAACTGAAAAAAGAGGGTCGTGTATGTTAACAAGGATAGGAGACAGATGAGGCAAAAAATCAAAAAGACCTGGCGCCAGGGGAAGATCCAGCAGCGCAGCGGTGATTTTTCTAGGGTGCGTTTTACGCTCTTCTGTTCACGTGTTAGCCGATATCTCGCCAAATACTTAACGAGTTGCCTCAAGAACGGTATCCGGAAGGAGCTGGAAACATGGGCTGTTGGGCAATGCCAAGGTTTGGCGCCGTGAGGTGCCGAATGCGCGGGAAAAAAAGGTTGTGTTGAAGCAAAAATGCCAACGGTTGCGAGCGGTCACTTCAAGTTCGGTGTTTTGGGCCGCCACGGGTTGTGATATCCACCGATAACTTTCCAAAGAAGGAAGCAACAGCAACAGCAACAGCAACAGCAACAGCAACGCCACGAGGCAGGAGGTACGTCTCTGCTCCATCTTTCAAGCCCAAGGTCTGCTACCGTGGGGTATCGTGCGTGTAGGGAAAAAAATTTTGGTTGACCCTAACATATCGACGTCAGAGAGCGGCTAGTTCAAGTTCGCGCCGAATGTCTGCTCACAGTTTAGGTTTTCAGCGATAACTCTTCGAAAAGGAAGCAACTGCATTAGCAATGCCACGCGACGGGAGGAAGCTTTACCCACCATCTGTCTCGTACAAGGTTAGATGCCTTGGGGTATCGTGAGTGTGGAGAAAAAAGGTTGCAACTACCCTCTCCCGCACGGAACAGCCCGAAAAGGCCGCGCAGCCCCGTTCTGATCATCAGTCCGTTCACCGCTTGTCACGATCGGCATTTTCTCCTCGAGCACCCAACGAGCCGGCCCGTGTCATGGCTTGCCGGCGAGCAGAGTCTTCTGGCTACAAATAATGGCCATGGTCTTGGTGGTAGGGTGCCGATAGCCCCTCTATGAGCAGTGTGCAGCAGGTCGTGTCGTGCACTTGATTTGCAGCGGCCTCGCGGCAGGTGCTCCAAGGCTTCGAAGTCTTGAACTCCTTGCCTCTTTGATTTTGATTTTGATAAAAAAAAGTCCCCCGGGGACTTCTTCCCAGACAGAGGAACTTCCATAAAATTAAAGGGCGTCGTCAGGAGGTAGCAGATACTCGACCAATCAGATCTCGATTTTGATTTTGATTTGTCGATTTTGATTTTTGGTACGGCCTAACAACTGGCCTTAGTCTTCGGGGAACCACCTAAAAAAGATAATCGCTGCAGGCACCAGTGCAAAAGTGTGCAGCAAGATTCATAACATAAGCTTTCACGCTACAATTTTTTCTCCTCAGATAGCGTGGGACCAAAACAGGGGCATCACCTTCCACGAGGGTTGGTGTGTCTCCACTTGGTTTGTTTGACAGCGCTGCTACCTCATGCTCAGCCAGCGGAAATAAAATTTCCAGACATTTTCCCCCCCTTTCTCCGGATTATCTCACTTGCAGTCGCTCGACAACCCCTTCCTCCGGCACCTCAGGCTGATTGGGACTCCACGCGGTCAGCAGCTCCCCAAGCTTTCCGTACGAAGGATACCCCTCGGGACATGAGCTGTACTCGGTCTCGTCCTTGACCTCGTAATCTTCGACGCCAAGAATCCTGCTCCGCCAATGTGTGGGTTCTACAACTTCATCTCTCCGCTCCTCCTGCTGGGGGGGCTGCTGCTGCTGCCCTTCGATCGCCGCTTCTGCTACCCCCTGGACATGTTGCGCGTCCGCCACTCCATGTCCCGCAGCGATGAGCAACACCAGAGGCAGGATCATGGTTGTTGCTGGTGTGAACACCGGTTGAATTGTGTGTCTTCTATCTTCGGCCGTGTGTTGACAGGCTGGCTGGGCAATGCATGCTCGGGATCGGATGGGTGCTACACGGGGGCGCCGTGGTTACCAGCTGTACCGCCGTCTGGGGGTTCTGTCGTTTTGTATGTGCCGATTCGGGTGAAAACCGTTGCGGGTTGACTATTCGACCGCATCTTGACGGCGCTTTCAAACGCTCGCGCCTCTTCTCTGGTTTCTCTGTCTGTCTCTCACCCCCTCGAGTACTCTTAGCGTTCCCATATGAGTTTCGAGGGCATTGCCCCTTTCTGACTGTAAGTAAGTATGAGGGGGAACGATGGTAGGGGATGGAAGACGTCCACCAGCCAGGCTCTCTCGAAAGTGTGCCGAAAGAGATGGCGCACCCTCGACCTCGCTGCCGGCTCTCCTACCCCTCCAATGCGCATCAATTGCGCCAGCGGTAAGGTCTGGCCGCATTGCTGTACTTTTCTCCGTCTCTTGACAGAACAATATGTGTACTATACGCAGTCTGCACTGTGTACAGTCTACAACTCCTGTTCCCAACTCTTCTCACCGTGCTGCGCCTACACTCTAGGCGAGAGCTTCATGGATTGCTGTACAGAGTGGAATCAACCTCAGACATGCACTCACCCATTATAGTATGTACACCTCTTGTTGTTCATCCAAACACCCGTCGGTATGATTTGTGGGTGTGAGGGGACCACTGGTGAAAGCTTTTTGCTGGTGCGGATTGTCGTGTGCGTTCATACAGAACACTCTGTATGCTGTTACCTCCATTTGTTTCAGCATGCAAATGTTCTACAAATGGCGCTTGTACCGCACGCAGTACGGTACTAGCCGTACAAGTGTGCGGTTATCCTTTTTCTCAGAACTGTTTCATCGCACCGCTGCCTGGGAGAGCTGTATCGCGTTAGTGCCCTAACGTCCTCTTGTGTTCAAACGTTGGTACAGACACAGTTGTTCGATCTCCTCGTATGTGGATGTAAACGTGCGAGTCATCAACACCCCCTGGACCGACTTCATAGCTCCATTGTCCGATATTCAAGAGGCTGACAATGACGAATAATACGTTGTTGGAAACACCTCGTTGGTCACTCTGCACGTATGTGTTACCCTGGATGGTTGTAGTTGTACGAGAAAATACACCAAAAAAAAAGTAATACTCTACGTACACTGACAAGTGTAGTACACGTCTCACCATGAAAATAAGGGGGGACTGTCGCTTAATAAAGTAGGGCGAAAATACACACACACACATATCGGTCGGTTTTCGTGCAATCTTGGTTGGGGAGTAGTCGGTCGTTGACAGTCGGTCAAGGGTGTGTGCGATGACTCGCACTACTATAGCACACTCATGCCTCACCTGTCTTATGGTGTCTAATTGTTCCTTGTTCGAAAGTACGCATGGAATCACAGATAAGGACTTCCATAACACCGAGCCAGATCCTCAAAAAGGGGAGTGTTCTTTTGTAAGGACTGGTTTGAGAACATGTTGAAATACTGTGGTGGGGTCAATTCTGACACCACGGTGCCCTCGCCCCAGTTACGTCGTGATATTTTCGGATTCAAAGTAAATTTATATGTTACTCGGTTGACAACTTATCTTTCACCAAACTGTCATGCTCTTGCATAGCGCTCCTGGGAGGAGAGCTGTACCTGTTCGGTGGCCTCAATGCTGGCCCTTCGAAATCGCTATGGGCCTTGAATGTCAGGGAGCGGCGTTGGCGACCCATCCCCCCTAAAACGGGGGAAGCTCCAGCCCCCCGGCAGGGCCATACGATGTGCTGTGAGTGGAGCAATCACAGGCCCATGCAGCTCAGAATTCCCCGCAACGAGTAGGGGGCGACTGCCCGTAGTGATGTCGATGTTCATGTCTCAGGCTATCGCAGAATGTTGCCAGCGTTCCTATGCAAAATACGTGAAAGGCGGAGAGAAAGTGCTATTATAGCCCCGATACTTCTGTCCGGTTCAGGGGGGCGTGAGCTTGGCTCAGGAGCCGTGCTTTTCCAAAGGTAGGTGAACCGTTTCGACAGGTTGATTTAAAAGATCGACCGATGAGTGAATACTCCTTACGAGGTTCATGATCCCGTACGTTGTACGCTGTTATCGTGAGCAGGTTCAGGCTCCACTGGTGTTTTGAGTGAGTATCTCTGGTTCTCCCGTCCTTGCCGTCCTCTTTTCGCATCGTGCAGCGGGGCCTGTCGTCGCTCAGGGGGATTACTGCGCCATGCAGGCTCTTGTCTCCCGTTTTTGCGCCCGAGCGACTACCCTATCATCACACATAAGAGATGCTTTGCATAGGTGTCTGAGACACATCGCATTGTTATCATGCCACTATTCTCCTCTCTCCGCGTCTCGCAGGGGACGGACTATCGTCGCTTTGGGTGTTCGGAGGGCAAGGAGCAGCGACGTCAAAGGCGGACTCATCTCGCACCCATCAGGGCGTCAAGATCAGGACCCTCGCCAGGCGTACTTGTTTCAACGACTTTTTCGAGTTCGACACGAAAAGGCTGTGAGTTTAGAGACAGAGAAACGGGGCATGCATTGTTTGCTATTGGTAATAGAAACCTTAAGGTGGCATCAAGACACTGAATGGATAACATAGGAAGTTGAAAAGACCAAGTCCCAGTAGGAGCCCGTCAAACGATCTCGGTAAGAGTATCTCCCAGAAAGGGGGGGTTGATGGGCTTCCACATCCCGTTGAGCTCGTCACGTTGATAGGGAAGCAGCAACGAGCAGCAAATCACTCCTTCCGCACCCGGCTCACGCCGAAATACCTATTGACCTCGGCAAATGTGTTTTGTTTCAACCTTCAGGGCGTCGATGTGAGTGTGCTTGCTCGTTTCTTTCGTGATTTTTCGCGCATCAAACAATCCGGAAGATTCGAACTCGTTTGCGGGCGTGAGACTACCAAAGTAACCCGCCTGGTTATATATATTTTCCAACTGTTTGCGTCGGTTCACATGGTTGGTTGATTTCTTGTTGTTTTGCTCGTTTGACTCCTTTCTCGAAAAGAGAGTGGCGGGACCACGTCCAGGCGGGAGTCTGCCCCACCTCGAGGCGTGGGCACACTGCGACCCTCGTTCTAGGGCGGCGACCCGAGGTGAGTCCCTGCGACCCCCAAACCTCCTCCGAGCGTGACACTGCCGGCACTGCTGCTGCTGCTGGCACTGGCGCGGTGGCCGCTACGGGAGACCTTAACCTTGGCAACGACGGCGCCAGCGGCTATAGACGGGCTGACTCCGAGAGCGTGGGCCATGGAAACAGCACCCCCCGCTCCCCCGGAAGAATCACTCCGAGGAAGCGGAGCGGGGAGGGTGAGGGGGGCAGGAGAGGGGCGGGGGGAGGAGGGGATTCCTCCGGCGGCGGCGGCGGCAAGGAGAGCGGGGACGGTGGCATGGGAAGGGCATCGTGTGAGTCGAGGGAGATGTTCGTCATTGGCGGCGCCGGCACGGACCCCATTCGAGTGAGTGAAAGAAAGGGAGAGGGAAAGAGAGGGGGGGGGGGGGGGGGGGGGGGGGAAAAAAACCCGGGGGGGAAAAAAAAAAAAAAAAAAAAAAAAAAAACCCAAAAAAAAACCCAAAAAAAAAAAAAAAAGAAAGAAAAAAAAAAAAACTGGAGAGGGGGGGGGAAAAAAGAACGACCCCAAAACCGAAACCGAAGCGGGGTTTTTAAAAAAACGGGGGAGGGGGGGGCAAAAACCCCCAAAGGAAAAGGAAACCCCGGGCCCCCAAAAAAAAAAAGTTTCCTAAAATTGGGACCCCGAAAGAAAAAAAATCCCCCCCCCCCCTGTCGAAATTTTTTAAAAAAACCGGGGTTTTTCCCCCCCCCCCCGTTTTTTCCCCCCCCCCGGGGCCCCCCCCC